ATTCGTTTTCAATTAGGCAATTCTTTTGGGAATACATAGGTCTGATTTTTTTTATATTAATGATAGTTGAATGTTTGGCCCTAACTTTATTCTGATGCCTTTAATGTTTGGGGGGAGGGATTTATTAATACGATGTTGACATTATATGAATACACCGTGAAATAATATATAGAACGATATCCAATATTTTTTTTATGAAGGAAACGTTCAATTCATAATTCATGTATAAATGGACAAAACACTTCGTCATGTTGATACTCTACCTTAGAGCGAGGCCACGAGAAGAGAGGGTAGGGTTGAAGAGGAGAGAGAAGGTTTTTGGTGGGGTTCTGCCCCCCCTCCGCCATGTGAGAGCCTTTCAACCTTTTAGACTTTACTCCCTCGGGGCGCAAATACACTGACGGTTCTCCTACTCCTGTCTCCCGACAAGTTCGCCGGCCGGAAACGAGACCGAAAGTAAACAAACATCTGCCATATCCCGTTCGTTTGTGGTTCTCTTCCACCATTTTGCCAGGCTCTATGAAAAGCATCATACATATAGTGCACCATATACGTAACACGGTAATACGCAATAAATATGTTTTATTTATTTTTATTTATTTACTTCTTTATCGATTTATTCATTTATTTATTTAGTTGTTTATTTATTTATTGATTGATTGATTTACTGTATAAATGTAGCAGGCACATATATATATAGATTTATATATATATATATATATGGGGCTGCCCCCGCCCACTAACAGTTCAAAACTGCCCCCCCTTCATAAACCACATACCAAAAAAACACAATCATATTGGTGGTAACTCAGGCCATTTTAGGGGATCCTTAGGGTCTGCTTAGGAGAAGATGTGATCTAGGTGGGCCGTACAAGTAACAAAGGGTGGAGCAATGAATGCAACAACATCACTACCTTTGAGGTGGCATTGTTTGTGGTTAAACCATTTAAATCATTTTAACGAACATCCTTTTGTGTTGCGCCATATTGTTGGAGCCATCAGGACATGTTTGCTGAACTTGTCATCAACTAGCCAAAAAATCAAAGTATCGATGTTGCTGTTGATATCCTTTGATGGTGGAATGGTTCTGGGAAGTCTGACAGCTGACATCATTTTGTTTATCTGAATATTTGTGTGTCAAATAGCAATGGCAATGATATGGTATGATGATGCAAGGTGTTGCATCGATATGATGATACGATATTATGACTCATGACATTCTTTACAATATTGAATGCAGCATACCTGAGATACCGAGATACTGCAATCAAACGGTCCAACCATTGTAAGTTATAAGTGAAAAGCGTTACAAAGGCGTGCCTCCAACAATAGTTGTTGAGGTTCTTAATAAACATCATATGATAATTGCATTTTTTTTCACATTCCCGCTCCTGGCATGGGCTCACAAGAGTGAGTTTTTTTTGGAAAGGAGGTTGGAAAAAAGGAAATGGTGTGAGACATTTGCTGGGCCGCTGGTCCGAAGGCTGTCGAGGCCAGGTGGCCTGAGATTCATTTTTTCCAAAGAAATTGTGTTTTTTTTTCGGGCTTTTTTCGTTCTTTTTTTGTGCTTTTTTGTGTTTTTTTGTGCTTTTTTTTGTGCTTTTCCGTCGCTCTCGAGCACAAAAAAAGCACAAAAAATACCACAATTCATACCACAAAAAAAAGCACAAAAAAACGCACACAATTCATACCACAAAAAAAAGCACCAAAAAAAACACAATTCATACCACAAAAAAAACACAAAAAATACCACAATTCATACCACAAAAAAAAGCACAAAAAAACACACACAATTCATACCACAAAAAAAAGCACAAAAAAAAACACAATTCATACCACAAAAAAAGCAAAAAAAAAAAGCACAATTCATACCACAACAAAAAACAAAAAAAAAACACAATTCATACCACAAAAAAAAGCACAAAAAAACCACAATTCATGCCACAAAAAAAAAGCACAAAAAAAACACAATTCATACCACAAAAAAAGCAAAAAAAAACACACACAATTCATACCACAAAAAAAGCACAAAAAAAAACACAAATCATGCGCGTTTCCAGCCCGTTCGTCCTTGAAATTGCGAAGGGAAACTATTGTTTAATTTGTTTTCAATTGCCAGAAAGCACCAAAAAAAAGCACAAAAAAAAGCTGCATCCATGAAGCTCTGGGCCCAATCGGAACTTGCCAAGAATCTTCCAAGACTAGTGTATGGAAGAAGACGAGTCTTGTTTTCCTTCGACATCTATGTTTTATGCCTCGAAGTATCGGCCTCCGGCACAAAGTGATGTACTTGCCCAGAGAGATGGACTCGACTCAATTCTCGTCGAACCAGCGAATGCATGCAAAAAGGCAGAACAAAATTGCACCACAGATGACACGAACATGTGCTCTTACATCGCCATTGCGCAAGCTCTCAAAGACCCCAACAGCCTCCACTGTGAAAGCCGGGGCCTGCTGCAGCTTCCTCTTCTGCACGAACATGCTCTGAGCTGCTCAGCTCCTTTGATTCTGGCAGACAGGATGGAATCCAAATTCATTCTCGAAAGCTTGAATGATTGATCTGAAAAACGCAATGCTTCCAAGAAATGACTGGCAACTGTAGGTGCCGCACCAGTACTGCGCAGGTGATTCAAATACCGATACACAGCATCCTCTGCTTGACGAAAGCATGTTCCATTACCAGATTCGGCAACCCAAGTGGCCCACCTCCAGAGAGAAGAAGAGCGCTTCATCAGCGTGCCGGTTGCTTTGTTAGCCAGTGCATCCGACAAAACCCGCATGACGTCGGTATTGGTACCCAGAGCTCCCAAGCAGTATAACATTGATTTACCAATCTGTGTATCATTCAAATCAAGACTAACTAATACCCTGAATCGGTTCAAAGCTCGGGACCTGAGTTCATTGTCCTGGATGTTGTATGAAGTCATAGCAATGCGCTTCCTGACAATATGACCAGGTGCCTGCAAGTCAATGGGCTTGTGGATCACTGCTTGAACTTTGGGTTGAGGACTCAAAACATCTGACAAACCAAAGTTTGAAGGTTTCAAGTCAAAACGTTTCAAAGCTGTCCTGTCTCCGACGGCAGCTTCACTCGCTTTGAAGATCGCAAGAATGCAAGTGCAGTTGAAAAAACCCGTCTGTTGAACATATGATTGTTGGACATGCTGAAAACTTGAGCTGGCTGATGAACTGCTACCATTCTGAACGCTAGCAAATGAAGTCTCACAGTGAACGTCTCCAAAATCCACACTGCCTCCAAAAATATCGGACCCAGCGGGTGCTGTCGAAGGACTGCCAACTTCGTCATCCAGCTGAGCACCCTGGTTTGTATTGGCCGGCCATCGCTTTCGAAAGCCCTTGTGGTCCATGGTTGTTGGGTGCGAAGTTTTGTGAAAATTGGAAGTTATGACTGTTTAGTGAGACGACCCCCGAAACGCTGAAGTGAACTTGTTTGAATTGGAAAACAAATTTTATCGCCCGCCGCACCACAGCCCTCGAATTGTAAGCGCAGCAGCGTGACATAGACTTATCTTCTGTTGTCTTTGGATTTTGTTTTGGAAGTTTGCTTTGTGTGAGTTAGAAAAACAAATCTTGAAGTGGAAAACAACTGTCGCAGTTTGTTTGAGTTTGTGGTTGGATGACATTCCACTAAGAGACTCCACCAAGAAAGGAAGTTGGGAAGTTAATCTTCCGACTTTGGTAAAAACTTCGCTTTGTGAAACTACGCCGAGCTTCCAAAACATGGCTGTCATTTTATGAACGCCTTCATTTTCAGATCATACATGTTCCAAATAGATATGAAATACGCTTTGTGGTTCTGTCATTCATACATACCTTTTTTTGTTTGGTGATTGCCCATTTGCAACGTACAAATTCAAAAACAGAAAGGCGCCACGAAAACTCGAAAACCCGAAAATTCGAAAACGGTACGGCGTGGTCCCTTTGCGCTTTTTGAGTTTTTGGATTTCTTGGGGCACGTGGTCCCTTTGCGCTTTTTTGAGTTTTTGAATTTTTGCGTTTTTTTGGCCCCGTCGCTTTGTAAGGATGTCGCGGAAATCGTTTGCTTAGCATATATATTTATATATATGTATATGTATATATACACAATATGTACAAAATTGTGATTTAAAATGGATTTTATACCATGCACCATGCATACAATGCACTATACAGTACATATCATGTAAACAAAAATCTGGATCTTTGCACCATACCTTGATGAGATCTTTCTTGATGAGATCCTCACTGAAAATGTCATCAAGGTTGAGTATTACCCCTAACCTCCTCAAAGCAAAGTTATTTAGAAACATAGTTGCCCATTGAAGGGCTCTATGCCAAAAGAAAGCGATAGTGATTCCTTCAACTTTAATTTGTGCTGCTCTCTCATGATGTCAGCCATGTAGAAACATACCATTATCAAAATGCATTCAGAAAGTGAGCTCCCACAGCACACACACACAGTCAAAGGCTTTCTGTGAGGTTTCCTCGGATCTTCTAGTCACCTGCCCCCTTGTCAGTCATTCGCCAGAGTCAGTCTCGTCAATCAGAATTGGAATAGCATTGTTAAAGATTGCAAAAGCATAGACTCAACACATCTAGGGGGGTAGTTATGGGGGGGTAGCATATATATGTGTATATATATATATATCTCTGTGTGTGTATGTATGTATATATGTATATATATAATATTTAAAAAATACATGAGAAGGAAGAAATCAAAAGCCAAAGCCAGCAAGAACAAAAGGAGGTAAATAGCAAAAGGGAGGCTACAATGCACAAGGCAGGCACACCACTTTGGATTGGTCAGGCGAAGAAACCCAGGTTGAAACTAAAAGAAACGGAACACATTGGAACATGATTAGAAATAACGCCCGGAGCCAGGACTGAGATGGACACGGAAGTTATGCATTGGAGAAATTGAAATTGACTCCCATGCATTAGCAAGTACATTTCCATCCCATTGCCTTGCCTGGCTTTGCACCCCTCACTGGCACTTCTGGTCACTCAGGTCCAAGCGCGGATCCAACCAGGCGCAGACCGACAGCACCAGCAAAACCAGCGAGCCGAAATGGTGTTGGTAAGGCGCCTGGGCCAAGGCAGCAGGCCATAGAACTCACCTTTGAAGCAGCAACCAATTGTCGATCGAAAGCAAAAGCGAACAAACCCAACGAACCAAGCAATCATTTGCAACCTACAACGCTTAAATATAGACAACCCCCGGTTGCCCTGCAAACCTATTTTTTTTGCAAAATCAGAAATGTGCAAAACCCCTTGGCATATTGGCCTAAATCTGTTGCACCGTAGATAGATCTTGAAACCAAACCCATATTCCAAGATTCTGGGAACGGACGGCCCATTGTCATTGCCTTAGTGCCAGTAAGGATCCGTGCGCTTTAGCAACTACCAGAGCCTATTAGCCTATAGGCTCCCAACACTGATGTGTTTCACAACCCCCCGCTATCAAACAACCTCCTACTAAGCCCTACAAGGCCATGAAGATCCTGGTGTCTTTTCTTTCATGCGGAATGTTGTCTTACTATCAGCCATGTCACGGCATCCCCCAGCGTCACCAACATGGTTGATGGAGCAAAGACTCGAATGGCGGGCGGATAGAGGAAGAACAGCACCAAGGTAGCCACTCCTGTCATCTCAAAGAACGACATCTTTGGCTCAAGTCAACGGCATGGAACATCTACCGTGGTTAGTCCCGACAAATGCGCAAGGATGACACCAGTGCGCTTATCAAAATTATTCACGTCGCTTCGCGACGGCAACCGCCCGCACTGCATCGTTGGGCTCACACAGATAGATAGAGAGATATATCTATATATATATATATATAGAGATCATATATGTACATATCGAGTGAACGGTCCACACTGTTAATGATGTCAGCCATTGTTCTCTTCTACTGCCATTGTTCTCTTCTATTGCCGTCGCTCCGCGACAAGAACCCCTGTGTGGCCGCCACGGTTTGAACGATGTTGTTCTCACACCTTCGCGACCGCTCGTAACTGCCAATGATGTCGGCCATTGAGACCAAAAACATCCGAAAGTACTGATTGTCGGAAAAAAAACGCGAAGAATTTGAGAGCCATGTATAGCGGACCAACGCAGTTCAAAAAATAACGAAAAACATGAAAAAACGGCGAAATTGCTGTTATTTACAGTGTTTTTGTGCGGTGAGAAGCAGAAACCACTGCAAATACCATGGTTTTTGAGGGTCAGGTGGCCAAAAACACTGTAATTTACAGTGTTTTTTTAACCAACGTCAAAAAACACTGGTATTTACGATGTTTTCATTCACACCGTAACATAAAACAGCGTAATTTACGAGGTTTTTGGAAGTTTTGAAGCTAGCCGTCAAGCATGCAGAAAACAGAAAAACACTGTAAAAACCAGTGTTTCTGCTATCACAAAACGACGAAAATCAGTCCGAAAACGGGTCCAAAAACTCAAAAATCCGCCTCCGGGCCAGGCCACCTGCAGAACCGCAAAAAAAGATGTTGCAAACCAAAAAATTGAAGTCAAAAAGTTGAAAAACACGGGTTTTTTTCACTTTTCGCTTGCCGATTTTGGACGGGCGCGTTCACGAACAGGTGTCTTCCGTACTGTTTTTTACAATGTTTTTTTAAGGCGCGCGCGACGACCTATCAAAAACAGGCGGTTTTGAGCGAAAAATGCCCCCCCCCCAGGTAAACCTGTAACCTTTTACGAGTGCCATCCGGAAGATCATGCCCCAGCACCTTCGGTGCGGGCGGATTTTTTTCTGTGACACTTCTTGTTGGGATGTAGCGGTGAATGGAGGAGACGAGGGCCAGAGCCACTTTGGAAATGCTTTCCCCAATGAGAGTGCGCATAAAACTGCGCCAGAAACGATTCAAGGAGAACACCTCTACAGCGCTGCGCCAACTCTGGAAACGTGCTAAATCCCGTCCAAAGGCCACGCAAAACTGCAACGTGCATTTTGCACAAACCCTGCCACGGAATCTGCACTTTCGACCTCTTGTGCGCAGCCCTGCCAAAGCATTTCGCGTAAAAAAACCTTTCACTGAGAGATCAAAAGTTCTGCGCCTGCCACACGATACGGACTTCCACGTCTTCGAAGAACTGCCCCTGCCATAGGAAAACACCATCGACAAGGTCAAGCGTGTCACAAGTATTGCGCCTGCCACGCAAAACCACTTTGGCAACGCAGCTTGAAGCTTCTGAACGTCATTTACAATGCGTTTCACGTCAAAAAACCACGCTCGGAAGTCACGTGCAGGAGCTTTCCCCAATGGCAGGAATTAAGGACGCGACGACAACCCGACGACGCAGATGACGCAAACACAGGTCCAGCCCCAGACCCCCAGGCTATAAACTGGAACCATTCCTACGCATTCGGGAATCAAAGTCAGTGAGCGAGTGTAGTCACATGAGGCGAAATGAGATGAGACGAGGTGAGGTCAGTGGGGACGAGGCGGCAGGATGAGAAGGAAGCCGGGCAGGGTGTAAATGTTGACAAAGATGTGGTGGAGTACAATACGAAAACAACAATATCTTTAAGGACGGCAAGAAATTTGGAAAACATATTTTTTGTTCTGAAGAAAGCCCTTGGAACACAATCAACATTGAACGGCCCAAGACGGACACAAAAAACAATTCAGCACAACGAAACAGAAGGCACTCCTAGGCTGAGATCGCGAATGCCAGTCACCTTCACCTTTGAGAAAGCAGGTCGGCTACGAAGTATGAGGGGAACAAACTTAAACCAACCAGGGACTGGTTCTTTTGAAAGAGGGCCAGAATATCACCATCACAAGAATTAACATCACAAGAATTTTGCATGTCAAGCCTTGTGCATTTTAATTGTATCAAAATTCAAAAGGTGAGCACTGAGACAATACGACTACGAACATAAAGGATGCAATATGTTTGACACTTGAACACGGTTGTAAAAGTTGGAAGGCCACGCAGTTTGCCAGATAAAGGAAAACCATTCTGCAAAGCTCATCACACACCAATCGAACACACTCTTGACTCCAAAGCACTGTAATCCGCCACTGTCATCCCATTCGTTACTTGCGTGTTCAATAAACAAATCCCAAAACATGGAAGCACAGTCACCCTCTTCATTTTCCCTACAAACGACACAAACAGCATCAAACAAAACTAAACGACAAAAATAAAAGGACGGCACTCACAATCCCGTTAATAAAAGCAACATGCACGCAAAGAAAAAAGAAATAAACAACAAGAAAGCTTAAGACCACTAGATAATCCAAGGATTTCAACTGAGGACATTGCCCATCGAAGTGTATCTTCATTGGTCGTCGGAAAGCCATAAGACTCCGCAGCGGAGATGGGCGATGCGAAGCAACTGGCACCTAAACCTGGGGCGATACTGTGATCCTGAAATCTTTTTCATTGTGTATTTTTGCGTTGAAAACACATGTGTCAAGTAAGGACCGTAGGGATATACAAAGTTGCTTTGGTTGAATTCTTTGGTTGGTAGATGTTGGTAGCTAGTAGCTTGTTGTTGGGTTTGTAATGGTTTGTATATATATAATATATATATATATATATTATATTTTTAGCAAGGTTTCTTCCCTTTCATGGCGTGGTGTTTGTGATTGCCATAGGCTTAGTGATTTCTTAGCAGACCCTTTTAGTTTAATGAAGATTTCATAGATGTTCGAGTCGTAAGAAATGTATCTTTGCACGGTGATGATCCTACTTCTGTTAACGTAAGGACAACCCACCTTAAATCGAAATTGAAATGCTGCATTACCACCATTACAAGAAAAAAAGAAACGCTGCCTGCGAGGCCAAAGCCCACAAAACAGGAGCCAACTCGCACAGCGATATGCACCCAGCGCGTCATGATCTGCTGAAATGATTGAGTCTGGACTCCAATTCCCAAGAAACATGATTCTGATTTTTGTTTTTGATGGTCTCTGGAGTTTTTTTTTATCTTACTTGCTTCACTGAAGTGACCTCATCCAACTGATTTTGTTCTTTCATAGCGCGGCGCAAGCTGGAGCCCAAGGGCAAGAAAACCTGCAGCAAGGGTCCAAGTTATTCCAAGATCTATTCTTGTGGAAGAAAAAATACACAAGTCATTTGGGTCAACGACCCATACCTGCCACTCTGGTTTGCCTCTTACGTTTCCAATTCGAAGTGGCTGGTGCCAGATTGTTGCCGGTGCTTGAAGGCAATCTAGAGCCCACATAGGTTGGAGCAGAAGGAGCTGAACGCAAATGTCCGAAGACACCAACAAGGCCCAAGATGGAAATCCGCTGAACCGAAGCCGGCGCTCTCCATGAAACAGCAATTACGAGCGTAAATCACTCTTTTTCTATGTTTTGCAACTTGCGAACTTTCTCCAATAGAAGCTTTCACTTCTTTCAGAAGCTCAGCTTTCCAAACTTCCGACAACTTGTGGGCAACTCAACTGGTCGCCAACTGCGTCAACTGGCTTGCAGCCATCTATGCCGTAAAGTCTGTTCTAAACTCTGTGGAGTGCTTCTAAAAGACTATGTTATTTAAAAGGACTGCTTCTTTGTGGGCAGTCAGATCAAGCCTGAGCTGAAAATCTGTTGGGCGGACCAGACGCCGCAATCTCTTCTTGCTGAGCTTCAGGCGTCTGCATAAATTCGCAAAAAGGATCCCACGTTCTGCCTCGTTCTGCGACGCGGGCAGTAACTTCCCATGTTCTGCGACGAGCTGCAGCACTTCGTGCCGAAGTGCTAAATCTGAGGCAGTTTTCGGACTCTCGCACAGCCGAGCTGTAAGCTCCAAAAGTTGTTCGTTCTCCTGCCACAAGCGTCCCAATGAACGAAATGCGCTTGGACCAAGTGAATGTTTCTCTTGTATGTAGTGAAAAACACTCTCTTCCTACATATCATGTAAACACGTATCTGCTTTGCTTTTCTCCCAACAGTCTCCTTTGAGGTGTCCAATTCAGGCAACGGCATGCTCTTTGAACGCGCCCACCGCTTGGACACCTTACAGTTGACCTCACTCAGCTCCTCGGTTACTTCAATAAAGGTTCCTCGAACAATCACCTTCATTGCCTCAGTGGCGCTGTCCACCGATGTACCCGACTATTGCCCAGTTGCTGGCTTTGTGATGGCTTTATGTCAACAAAAACAATTCAGGCAAAATAATTCAATCAGGAAGTCGAGACAATTGGTGTCATTCACAACACCCCGAAAAACCTACAAACAGAAGGGACCTAGCACAAGAAGAGAACTCCGGACTCGCCTTAGCTTGGAGAAGTATTTCCCAGGAGACCAAAACAAAACCACCTCTAATCAATAATACAAAACATATTCTTGCGTCCACGACTTGCATGATCTCTGAGGCCATGTTTTCAGCCCTGTAACTAGCCACCTCTATTCCTGTAACACATTTTGCCTGACTTCCCCCGAAAAAATATTTTGCCTGACATAACCGATAACCCTTGAGAATCCGTATGAAACCCATAGAAAACCAAACAAAAACAAACAAACATCTAAAAAAACATACAACAAAACAACCCCCACGACTATAGCGGTTTCTTCACTACTATCGTTCGTGGTCGATTTGTGTTCCCAAAAAAGGGGTCAAGATGAGTCAGTATGAGAGGTACCTACACATGGCAGGAAATAGGAAAGGTCAACCTTGACACAGGCCAATACCTGCTGAGCTTGGTAGTCTGTCACAAAGCACATCAACATCATCATGCCTTCAATATATGTTTCAGGAACATACGAATAGCTCAAGTTGGGTTATTTGAATGGTTGAGGCGACGCTAGCTTTGTGGAACTTGCAGAATGTCAGGTGCCAAGTTGGAATCTTTTCGGACCAAAGTTCAAAGTTGTGACTTGGTCAGCAGTTAGCGGCTAGTTCGTGAGTCAACAAAGAATGAGCGTTTAGCTAGCAAGCGTTTGAAAAGATGACGCAAATTGGCGGAAAAAGGCCCTCACCATGGGAACTTACAAACTCACCCCTGCATATAATGGATAATATGGCTAGTGCTGGTGAGGCGCTGGATCGGCAACCTCATCAGAAAGGCAAGAGGTAGAGGTTGAAAAAAATGAAAAAATCGACAAAAAGCATGAAACTTCATCAGCATGAAGCAAGCAACGCAGTAAGCACATGTAAGCACATGCAAGCACACTATGCCCGCCTTTGCAGAAACATTCTCCATGGTTCAAAAGATCTGCGGATTCTGTGACCAGCCAACTGATGAGCCCAAATTGCTCCTAAAAGAAACCAGCAATGCATGAATGCAATGCTGGCATTCCACCTTGACATCTGGCGAGACATGTTTAAGTTTAAACCACCGAAAAACTGTGTCACTGCAAGTGTTGACTCATACTCCGCCCGATGGAAATGCTGTGGTCCTAAAAGCCTCCTTTTCAGCTCTGTCTCTGATGCGGCGTCTCATGCAGTGGCTGCGCAGGAAAGGCAGCTGAAGAGACGAACCACAAAACATGATGCTCTTTTATGTGCAGGGTGCGAAAGTTTTGTCGTGGAAGTCTATAGTCTATGCGCTCAAGCCATTGCTAGCCCATACATAGACAGAGCTTCCGCAACCCTTCACACACAATGCATCATAGTCCGCCCAAGCTTTGCGTGGACGAATTGATTCCCAGCCAAGATCCAGCCAGCCAAACAAGAGCCAGCTTCATCTTTCACAGAAATCTGGGAAAAGAATGCGAGGATGGATTTCGGCTCAGGGGATCCTGTACAAACCAAAACCAAAAATTGACCAATGCACTGCAAAGCACTCAGCGAATCAATGCACCAGGGAAACCAGGAGCAGGGAATCATCCAAGTGCCATGCCTGTTGCTTGCCGGGTTCTCACAAGCTGGCTTTGAACGACTGGCCAAACCGATCGCAGAAGAAGGTCTCGTTCAGCGGTCGGCGGCTTGAGGCTGCTGGTCTGGGATCCTTGGCAAAGCCAACTGCAACCACCACAGGCACGTCATACTTATCTGGTAGCCCAACTGCTTCACGAACGGCTGCTTGAGACTTGAAACCTTCCATTGGATTTGTTTGGAGCCCATGTGCAGCGGCTGCAACGAGGAAGAACCCAACAGCAATCATGGTTTGCTTCACCCCCCAAGCTTCATGCGTCGATTGCTGTTTCAACGACACTTCTTTCAACAACGAGGCTGCAAAGTCAGGCGCATCGGGAGGGAGCTGGGGATTCGGGTCTGCTGCCCACACCAGTGAGAAGGATGACTCTCTCACATGGGCAGGATTGGGACCATCCATGGCCTTCGCTAACCTCTCTTTGCCCGCAGAACCTCTGACGACTACGCATTTGTAGGGTTGAGTGTTCAAAGCGCTTGGCGCACGACTGCTCAGGTGAAGCAACTTGTGAATTGTAACTTCGCTGACCTCCTCATCCTTAAAGCTCTTGCAGGCATAGCGTGCCAAAATAGCGTCCGAGACAGCCTTATCAGAAAGGCAATAGGTAGAGGTTGAAAAAATGAAAAAATCGACAAAAAGCATGAAACTTCATCAGCATGAAGCAAGCAACGCAGTAAGCACATGTAAGCACATGCAAGCACACTATGCCCGCCTTTGCAGAAACATTCTCCATGGTTCAAAAGATCTGCGGATTCTGTGACCAGCCAACTGATGAGCCCAAATTGCTCCTAAAAGAAACCAGCAATGCATGAATGCAATGCTGGCATTCCACCTTGACATCTGGCGAGACATGTTTAAGTTTAAACCACCGAAAAACTGTGTCACTGCAAGTGTTGACTCATACTCCGCCCGATGGAAATGCTGTGGTCCTAAAAGCCTCCTTTTCAGCTCTGTCTCTGATGCGGCGTCTCATGCAGTGGCTGCGCAGGAAAGGCAGCTGAAGAGACGAACCACAAAACATGATGCTCTTTTATGTGCAGGGTGCGAAAGTTTTGTCGTGGAAGTCTATAGTCTATGCGCTCAAGCCATTGCTAGCCCATACATAGACAGAGCTTCCGCAACCCTTCACACACAATGCATCATAGTCCGCCCAAGCTTTGCGTGGACGAATTGATTCCCAGCCAAGATCCAGCCAGCCAAACAAGAGCCAGCTTCATCTTTCACAGAAATCTGGGAAAAGAATGCGAGGATGGATTTCGGCTCAGGGGATCCTGTACAAACCAAAACCAAAAATTGACCAATGCACTGCAAAGCACTCAGCGAATCAATGCACCAGGGAAACCAGGAGCAGGGAATCATCCAAGTGCCATGCCTGCACCGTGGAATATCTCATCAATAAAGCTAAGGCAGAGAATTGCAGGTCAGCAAGTTCAAGCGGGAAAAAATGGTTTCTGTGGCCCAGATGCTTCGCTCGATCTGCCAATGGTAGAAAGATTTACAACCAAGCTGTGCGCCACTGAGCATTGCTTGCCCTGCCAATTGCCAACAAGAAAAAGATCCAAGATGACACGAAGTGCTGACCTCCAAAGGAAGTAGCAAAATAGTGGTACGGCTCAACAGGCTGCAAAATTTACAAGTCGTGCAGAGTTCAAAACAACGGTTGGCCCCAACACCTTCCAGCTGCTGGCAGAAGCAAGACTCGTTCTCATGATTTGACGTCCAAGAAGAAAGTTAAATCTTGGGTTCGAGGGAGGATCCCAAACTACCCCAAAACGCAAACAGGACAGCAATTAAGACAACACGTCAAATGGCAATGAGGAAGGCACAACGCAAGGCATATAAATCTGTGGGTAAAATAGCTGGGCCACGCATGATGAATGAAAATGAAGGAATCAGAACAGCACAGAAAAGCTATTGCTGTTTGAGATTTTCAAATATTCTTAACATTAGGACCTGTTACAGTCCCACAGGGCACATAACCGGATGCCTGCAGTGAGCACATTGGCATTGTTCCTAACCTCAGCAGTGCATGAAGACCATCGAACCAGCGTAAGAATTTGCAGCAAACCTTGGTCCTAGTTCAAGACATGCTGCGTGCTGTGCCAAGTTTCAATGAAACTTCTATTGATGCGATTTTAACACCGCACTGCTTCTGCACTCAGCTCAACTTCATAGTTCGTGCCCCTTGGCTAAGCATGGAACCCTCCAACCCATTTGCTGCCTGATTGATGGCTTCGACCCACTGCTCTTCCTTTTGGAAATACCTTGGCAGCGCAGTGAAATCTGCCAATGGCTGCGGCAACGTCATTTCATCCAAAGCGGCATTGGCTTGCCATGGCTCGGCAGCACGGCAGTAGCAAAGCCGACATATTTTGCAAAGCCTGTGCAGTCTCAAATCAGTTCCCCAAGAGAAGCATGCGTGAAGCGTTAGTTTTAAAGCAAAATTGTCTTTCCCCGTAGGGATTCTAAAATTATTCTCTGCCCCCGCACAGTTCCACGCTGAAGGAGAATCAAAATAAAGAGCCCAAGAAAAACCCAGTAGGAAAAGAAAGCTGCGTCTACGCAGCATGCTGGTAAAGCCTTCAGTCACACTTCAAGAGTACCAAAAACAGAAAATGGACGGGAACAGAGTGGATACAGGAACCATATCGGCAAACAAATTATGGGACATGAAAGAAGACCCAGCCCACAACTTGGAAGACAGACTCTGCAGTGTCCCAGACTGGGACAAAATGTCGAGATCTTGAAAGGAACGAATCCCTTGCGCAGCCCTGCCAACTAGTACCCACATGGACATGTTGTTTGACTCGTCTCTTCAAATCTCCGCCTCGCAACGAAGCAGCTTGGCGGCTTCGCCCAAAGCGGCAATGCTGTGGGAAGCCGGTGGGGCCAGACCAATCACCCAAGCTGTCCTGTGCGAGAAACGTGACAAGGAATTTGAGGCATTTGACTGAAGCTTGATTGGTTGAGGCATGCGCAAGCATTGTGTTTGCTTGTAACCTGAAAACAAAAGCCAAACTGTTTTTTCCCAAACGCATACTTCTGACCCTGCAGTATCCCACGAATCAGTGTTGTAATTAAGCAAAATAGCTAATTAAGCAAAATAGTTTTCAACCAGACAACAACAAAATCGGTGTTCGTCTCGGCGCTGACTTTGGAAGCTCAAAACTCCGAAGGTCCCCTGTGAAAATCGCTGACAACTTTGGAAGCACGTAGAAGAGAGATCCAGCGGAGTGTCCCGGCACATGGTACACCTCAAAGTCTCCCACCTTCGAAGATGGATGCTTTGATGAACGGTGCGCTAAAAACATGTCATCAAAGCAAAAGCCGCTGTTGCACAAAGAGTTTTGCGAGGGAACATGGGTGTTGAAGATTTCTTTCCGGCCTTCCAAGGGCCAGGACCATCAAGTTGGAGCTCCAGCCCGCGACAATCAGCACGGTGTGCCACGCGCAAAGGCTGTTGGTCGAATTCTTGATGCCACTGCTCATGGCCACTCATGCCAACCTGAATGAGCAGTTCTGCAGCAGTTCTGCATTGAAAAGAAATATATACCAGATTATATAGACACCTTTCCTACAGATACCAATTCATGTCGAAAATATTAAATGGTTTTGGCCGCCAGTTTGGCCTTCTACCTTTTCTCCTTGTTCTTGCATGATCCTCTGATTCTTCGTCGTCTTCTTCTTCTTCGTTTTCTTCTTCTTCTTCCTTTTCTCCTTCTTGTGCCTCTTTGCTTCCTCTTTTTCTTCTTTTCGTCTCGCTCCATCTTTTTTACCCTTCTACTTCCGTTGAATCATGTCATTCTTTAGACTCTTACCTCCCATCCTGTTCAGCCCGCCAACCAACCCGCCGCATACCTACAATAGAGCCCAATTTTTCAGTAGCTGGGTTGTTTCGCATGTCGGAGCAAGCCTTCTTCTGACTCTTGCTCATGCCTCTTCATGTTCCTTCCATGTAAGTCATTGTTAAATCCTTACCATATTATTTTTGGTTCATGTAGCTTTTGGTCCGCACAATGTTTCTTCTCTTTGCCTGCCATTTTGGTCTTCGTTTATTTGTACATGGCTAGCGTTTCGCAAAGGCGGCCGAAGACATGGCACAACATTCTGTCCCTCAAAGGCCCCTACAACATAGAAAGACAAAGCAATCCATTTTCCGTTGATGTCACGCGTAACCCTGTCCCTGTCAGAAGTCTTGTCCGAATCCTTTGCATCATCCACGCAACCATAAATATGAGAACTTCCCAAGAAAGAGGGCAAACAACCCACTGGCCAAAAAAGATGTTTTCCTGCTCCTGTCCATTCTCTTGCAGCCAAGGCACAAAATCATCATGAGTGAGGAGAATGTGAGACACGCCCTTTGGAGCTATCTCGCGGATTTGTGTGGCAAGTTCCTGTGTCAGTCTGACTCCAACAGTCTCATATTATTACCAATTTCTGGAACAAAAAACATAAGCTTAGGTGGTATCCGCAACAGCGGTATCAGTATCCATCTTTTTCGGCTCTTTTGTTTCCGGAACCTTACGAAACCCCGTTGAACCTCCGCCTGACCCTTCCAACGCTCTTCTCCGGAACCTTGTCACCAGTCTTCTCCAGAACCTTCTGGAACCTTGTTGAACCTCCGCCGGGCCCTTGCAATGCTCTTCTCCTGTCACCAGTCTTCCCCAGAATTCTTTCGGAACCTTGTTGAAACTCTTCCTGGCTCTTGCACCGCTCTTCTTGTCGAACCTACGCCGGGCGTTTGCATCGGAACCTTGTTGAACCACCGCCTGGCCCTTGCACCGCTCTTCTCTGGAACCCTGTCGCCAGTCTTCGCCAGAACCTTTCGGAACCACGTTGAACCTCCACCGCGCCCTTGCACCAGCCTCCTCCGGAACCTTCCGGAACCTTGTTGAACCTGGAGAACACACCGGGGCTTATCTGGCCTGAAGACCCCGTTAGCTTGCGCTGTTGGGGAAAAGAAAAACTTTTCGGATACCTCCAAAACCTTCCCAAACCCTCCGGAGCCTTCCGTCCGGAACCTGCGCTTGCAACCTGCGCCTGGCCCTGCACCGAAACCCTCCTGAACCTTCCGGAACCTTCCCGAACCCTCCGGAACTTCCCGTCCGGAACCTGCGCTTGCAACCTGCGCCTGGCCCTGCACCGAAACCCTCCGGAACCTTCCGGAACCTTCCCGAACCCTCCGGAACTTCCCGTCCGGAACCTGCGCTTGCAACCTGCGCCTGGCCATGCACCGAAACCTTCCTGAACCTTCCGGAACATTCCCGAACCCTCCGGAACTTCCCGTCTGGAACCTGCGCTTGCAACCTGCACCTGGCCCTACAAACCCTCTGGAACATTCCGGAAATTTCGGAACCTTCCCGAAACCTCCGGAACTTCCCCTCCGAGACCTGCGCTTGCAACCTGGCCCTGCACCGAAACCCGCCGGAACTTTTCGGAACCTTCCGGAACTTTCCGGAACCTGCACCTGCCGGAGTCTATCTGGGCTGAAGACCCCATTAGGTTGCGCTGTTGGGAATAATTTCGCACCCAATCCTGCGAGAAATATGGAGGGTCCACCAGCGTTGCTGCATCCTGCACAGGAGATGCCGCAAGCCAATCGTTCCAAAACACAAGCAAAAAAAAAAACATATCAGCTACTCCTCTTGCACCACTACATAGCCCCAGGGACCGATGCTATTCTCGCTCCACACCCAACGGCCAGGGATGCGCAATACCCCTTGGCTGCTCTGGAGACATTGGCCAAAAGACTTGGCATAAGCAATGGCAGGGCTTGCAGCAACCAAAGTCAACCGAATCTTCAAATCCAATATCTGTCGAGTTTGCTTTCAAGACTACACGCAGAAACACATGTTGTAGCGCGTTTGGCTTCCAAATGTCAGGATGCCAGGAACTGAAGTGGCCGCAAAGAGTTTCATGAACCCCGCCATTGCGCGCATCGCAAGTTCTCCCTTGAACCACAACTGGCAGAGTGGATAAAATCAGGCTCTAACATTCTTGCAGCAGCTGTCTGGTTCCATGCCAACTTTACAAATCTATGTTGGATGAAACCAAGCAAACAAACCTTTGTAGGACTGAACCCAGAGGCCAACCTCGCTCTCCACAATTCAAGGATTGAGTGCCGCAGGTGATTGAAACAATGCGGCGATATGTTTACTGCCGAAGAAATATTTCTGTTTGGGCGGCTTGTGACTTGTCAGCCCCGAATGTCTAGAACTTTGCAGTAATGCTTCGATCTTCCTTCACCTATTTCACTTGACCCTGCTCTGCCTTTGCTCTTCTACTAATTAACGTGTATTGTTCTTTGCTCCTCAACTTTCTTCGTCCTTTCTTCTTTCTTTCTTTGAATTTGCCTGTCATTCCTGTCGACCCTCTATTATTGCTTCTGTCCAATGCTTTTCTCAAAGTTTCTCGACCTGCTGTTGGCTTTTCTCGGTGGTGTCTTGTGACCTTCCTCACCGCTACTCACCCCAGCCCTGCGCAACCTGCACGTAACAATCTTTGGTGGAACTTCTGGGCCGCCAAATCAATGGCACGACATATCCGGAACACTCCTGATGCCAAATGCTAAAAGCAAAAAACATCAAAAAACGGTTTGCTCGGGCACGATGTAGTTTGGACGCACAGCGATACTGGTCTGGACAGCACCGGCAGCTTTGAAAAAAGCAAGCCGCGCCCCTCAAGGCCGATGCAGTGAAAAACTACGGGCCGAGCACCAAGTCAATAGAGCTACATTGGAGGATCTCTTCACGCGACACTTGTATGCAAAGGAATCGCTAAGAAGTTTTGATCAAACGTCGCTTGGTGGACAGCCGGAGACCAGCTCCGCAAACACCTCCGCAAGACCTCTTGGAGCTCAGGAAGATTTGGGCCCAGAAAATCCTGAGCACAGAAAACGACAAAAATCATGCACTGGACAGCTCTCAGCGAACCAGCGAACCAGGATAAAAGCGGTCCGAGTCACTGTCAAGGTGGTTCAAAATTTGACCAGTGAGCCTCTACTGAACATTCATTGTCATAAGCTGTGTTCTTAAATTGATTCACGGCTGTAGCAGCTGTTATGGACACACGTATGTCAACATTGCCTGGGATGATGCAAGCAGGCATGTTGGAAAAGCCGAAGCAGTGCAGGACTTGAGGCCAAAGGGACGGGGACGAAAGCTGGTAAGTGGGTGGCGGGGCATCAGGCATGGTAGGGGGAGGATGGGAAGGCAAAGGCAATAGTACATAAGAAGGTGAGATGTGTATGTGATATGGTTTGCTGTCGAGGATGAGGCAGTTCAAGGAGAGGGGGGCCTGCGACTTTGATACCGCTACTTTCTCAACGCAATTTGAAGCATCCCATTTGGCACCGCTACTTCTGCATCCCAATTTGGTATCATTACTTTCCCAATGCAATTTTGAAGCATCCAAGTTGGTGCCACAACTTTCGCAACACATTTGCCACTGCTACTTGTGACTTTCTCAAGAGAAAAAGACAAGTTTGAAGCATCCAATTTGGTACTGCTACTTTTGCAACACAACTGTTACTTTTTCAAACACCGCTTTGAAGCATCCAAGCTGGCACCGCTGCTTTTCAAGACAAGTTTGAAGCATCCAATTTGGTACCGCTACTTCTGCATCCCAGTTTGGTACTACTACTTTCTCAACACAATTTGAAGCATCCAAGTGAGTATCGCCACTCCTTCCAGAGAAATTTGGGGCATCTAATTTGGCACTGCTACTTTTGCAACACAATTGACGCTACTACTGTTTCAACACAAGTTTGAAGCGTCCAATTTGGTACCACTACTTTTGCCACACAACTGTCAACAACCAATTTGGTACCGCTACTCTCTCAACGCAATTTGAAGCATCCAAGTTGGTACCGCTACTTTCTCAAGGCAATTTTGAAGCAACCTTTTCCACACAACTTTGAAGCATCCAAGTTGGGACCGCCACACTTTCAAGAAACAACCAATTTGGAACCACTACTTTCTGAACGCCATTTTGAAGCATCCCATCTGGTACCGCACCTTGTGCAACACATTTGGCACTGCGACTTCGGACCTGTTCAAGAGAAAAAAACAAGTTTGAAGCATCCAATTTGGTACCGCTACTTCTGCATCCCAATTTGGTACCACTACTTTCTCAACGCAATTTGAAGCATCCAAGTCGGCACCGCTACTTCTTCCAGACAAATTTGATCTAATTTGTCACTGCTACTTTTGCAACACATTTGGCGCTACTACTTTTTCAACAAAAGTTTGAAGCGTCCAATTTGGTACCACTATTTTTGCAACACAACTTTCAACAACCAATTTGGTACCGCACTTTCTCAACGCAATTTGAAGCATCCAAGTTGGTACCGCTACTTTCTCAAGGCATTTTTGAAGCAACTTTTCCCACACAACTTTGAAGCATCCAAGTTGGGACCGCCACACTTTCAAGAAACAACCAATTTGGAACCATTACTTTCTGAAAGCAATTTTGAAGCATCCCATCTGGTACCGCACCTTGTGCAACATATTTGGCACTGCTACTTGCGACTTTTTCAAGAGAAAAAGACAAGTTTGAAGCATCCAATTTGGTACCGCTACTCTTGCGACATATCACTGAAACAGTTTCACACGGCTGCGCAACGCAAATTGGAGCATCTGAGCTTGAAAAACACTACTTGAAAGCAGCTCACTAGACCATGGACGAAAGGGAAGTTGAAACCGCAGGGGGGGTTCACGTGAATGATTCACTTCGGCCAGAAACCTTCGATGTGAATGATCACTGCCTCTTCCCCAAGACTGCCCCCAATACGTTCCCTAAGGAAATCCAACTCCAGCTAGCAAACTAGCTTTCGTGATAATTTTTAAACAACTTGATTCTAGAAGGTCGTACGTTCATTCCTCCGCTACTAGTGAGGCCAGGAAAGGCTACTGGAGAATTCGTGGACCACCTAATCTGAGCAAAGACAAAGGGTCTGCCTAACCGACTAACCTGTACAAAAACACAGCTAGGCAACCCCCTATGCACCGGATGGCTGCTGGTGGAGTGCCAGCTCGCAGTACTCTAGAATACCACGACAAACGCAAGACAAAGCGCAAGCACTGAAACCATATGCTACACTGAGCTACAAGCATGAAACAAATAAACAAACATGTCACAGCATATGGATGGAAGGCATCGCCACTCTTCTGACACTTTCTGTCGCCAGTGGGAAATCTTCGCTGATCTTGTGTAGAGTGACTCCACTGAGCAAAACAAATGCACAACCATCACCACTGTGCAGTTGATGTGGAAAGGACAGTCAGCATGAAGATTGCTGGAAAGGACAGTCAGTATGAAGATTCGTCGTGATCTTCATGGAATGCCACATTGCCAGCTTTGGCGAAGAAAAAGACAGAACGGAGTGAATTCAGCAACGGCGTTGACTTTGCAGTCTTCCAGGCAATTCAGGAAACTCAAACTCCAAGTTTGGGATGCAGGTTGCCCTGAGCTCAAAGTCATCAACAATCTACCGATAGTCTACCCAAGAGTTGACATCACCATTGTGGGAAAAGAAGCGAGGTCAATATCACTTTGGCTTCAACTTCAAGCTCAGGAGTGCAACAGCGGAAAGACACAAAACAGGAAGCCAAACCCGCACTGTGCTTTGCTTGTGCGGCTGCAGCGTTCGCTGCTGCTGCCCGCAGGGCTTGGTCACATTATTTTGGTTTCGCTCTTGCAGCGTGACTTGCAGCTGCACACAAGGGCGGTTCACAATATGCAGGTTCATATGCTCTGCCTGTTTCATACTGCAAAGGCTTTGAGGATCATGAACCTAAGGCTGCGAAGCAAAGTGTGTTGTCGTCAAGTCTTCTGCCCCACTTAAAGCAAAGAGGCTTCCATGTCGTACAAGTCGATAAAGCCCGTGATCACGCTGTACATCGTTATCATATTGAAGCCTCACATCATGCGTGAGTAAGGAGGTTGGCTTTGAACAGAGTTTCAGCATGCAAGCTTCCTACCGGGCCTAGAGTTTGCTTCTGAGCAACTTTCCAAAAATACTCTTCAATTTCTTAAGCTCGAAACCTTTCACAGGGCAGGAAGAACGTGTGCTGGCTCCAAAGGCGTAGCTCCTGAGTAACTGTAACTTGACAAAAAGGGCGTCAGTTGCAACGTGAAATTTCCACTATGGTCCTTGGATGGGTGCACCGCCCCACGGCAGTCTTCAAGCTGCTTATGGGCGAAGAGCTTCGTTGAAATGGGCAACCGGCTGGATTAGTTGACTCCTCTCATGCTCAGACTCAGACCTAATAATGACAACTCTCGCAAAAGCATTGACATCACAAAACTTGCACATGGATTGGGCACAAGATCACAGGCTTTGACCACATGATGTCGAATGAGCACTCACATGAGATACCCTTGCGTAGGGCAAGCAAAAGCCCACCTGCGGGGCTCCACCCATCATAGCGTGTGACCTTGTGCTGCAGTCATGTTGTTCATTCAGCCAAACCCTTCTGGATCGAAAGTCTTGTGGCAAACTGAATTGGCAGGAAACCAAGAAGCCCAAAAAATCTGCCAAGTAGCCATGGCGGGGAGATCACTACAATAGTTCCCTCAAGGATGGCTTGCCCCTGGATGGTGGTATTCCGCTTTGCCCTGTAAGGCATCAAAATGGGTGCAGAAGGCGGATGATTGTGCAGCTCCTCAACGATCACTGCCCAGACTCGCTGCGGATTCTCCCGCACTTGCTCTAGAAGGCCATGCTCCGTGTAGATCCGAAGAATCTGCCAATATGGGCCATTGGCCAACGACTGCATTCCCAACAACATCAATGCAAGGAGATTGTGCTTGGTTTGCTCCTGCGAAAAAGCAAGAATCACAAAAATATTCACTGCTTTCAGTGGAAAAAAGACATCATTGGAGATGTGTCCAATTCGCTCCTGCGAGCACCCACACCGACGAAGGTGCTGAGTCAAGCTGTTCTCGGCGGAGTTGGTCCAGAAGTGCTCAAAGATATATCGAAGATCCTTCTGATCCCTTCGAAAAGGACACTGAATATTGAAGACGGCCTCCATGATTCGATTGATGAGATCCAGAAATCGCCGATCTGTCCTTGCTGGCAAGAGCTGAATCTAAGGTCGAAACGTTTATAGCCACGCCATCCTGTGCGTTAAATAAGCCTTGATTTGCACATGCTCTGTCAGTGTTTGGTAGCTGGTTGAAAGTTGGGAACTCCAAAGGTACTTTTTTGCGAAGGTGCACTTTTCATACTTGTGTTGCTCAAAGAATGTCTGTATCACCAATCACAGATCCAAATGAATTCCTATCTTCGTGCCTGCTCACGGTGCCAAAATGACAGCGACAAAGAAACCAAACATCTTCAAAACATGAAGGTTCAGAGGAAACTCGCGGAACCTTCTTATGAAACTATTTGAGAAACATCGAAAACAACTTGAACGCTTGCTTTTCCATTCAGATCCAACACCTACTACAGTACTTAAGGACGATATATAATATATTGCAGCCTGAAAGGCTATGTTTTGATACAACATGTAGATGGCTTTGGTCAAGGACGCACACAGTTCCACAGGAGCCCATGTGAAAACCCCAACAGCTGCGGTGAACTCCAACACTGGCAAGCAAACAAACGGCTCCAAAAGCGGAGCTCTCTCTATCAAAAGAGCAGAACATAGAAACGAAAGTGTCAATCTGGAACCTCTACGCAGAACCTCTACACAGAACCTTCTCTGGCGGTTGAAAGACCGCTGGAATCTGTAATGTTCAACCTTTTTGTGGTGAAACATGGGACTTTTATCCCGAACCTTCGAATCTTTAGGTCTTTAGGTTCCGAACCTTTTATCTGTTGGCAGGAGGCATGGGATGGACGCCAGAATCATCCGTTGGCGCAACAAGAACACAGCGTCCGCACCAAGCTTTGTCCGAGCAGAGCTCGTTTGCTGGCGCGGAGTTGCTGGTCTACGCAGAGTTCTCTCGGTTTCCTTCTCCCTCCTCGTCTCAAATCACTATTGGTTTGTCATTATGGGATTCAAAGCTCCCTCTGGCTTCTTTGGTCTGATGGAAAACTTCCCAATCTAGGTCTTATCGAGAATCCATCCTGCTGGCAAAGAGGATCCAACCAAAACCTCCAGCAGAATTCTCGTAGCCACCTCCTGCAAAATGTCAAACAAGCCATGCTTGCCTCGGACTCGTCCCTGAAGGATCGTCAATGCATTCTTGGCCAAGGCATCCTGGTGGCAAAGCTTAGTTCAAACAACAATGACTTGGTTCTTGAAATGTCCAACCCAAAAGGTCTCTTGCAAACCCTCAGGACTCAGCGGGTCAATTGGATTTTTCATTGAAGGAGGTCAAATGTGAAAGTGATAAGAAATGAGAAGCAGTGGTTTCATCATCCTGATCTGTGTCCTGTGTCTCCGGATCTGCAATCATCCTGCCAAAGTCCAGAAAGATTGCTCGGAGTTTGTCATGTTTCTCGCCGTCCAGTTGGACAAAGATTGACTCGGCCTCAGTTCCAGCTAGCAGCTAGGCATGAGATGAGATTCGGATTTCAGCCCCAGTGCTACGTAGAAGGAAAAATAAAACAAGGTCCCGCTAAGCATGCATTTACCGTGTACAATGCATACAAATTGTGCGAACATACGGCCCGAAGCGGTTCAATGAATTACTTTCTGGCGCGCATTTGGGTGACATCCTGAGTTGCTTCGCTATGTGCTGGTGGCTGCAGTATACGTCGCTGGTCGCTTCATGGTCGGTGAGGGTCAAGGGTTCTGGGCTAGCGTATTCTTCGACACAACACCGGAATAAATGGCTGCCACACATGGCGCAAAATAAAAGTCAAATCGGGATTGCTGAAAAAGCATTGTGATTCAGTACATGTTGCGCCAACTTGCGAATGTGAGCCACAAAAGCCTTCATGATGTTCAACAGGACTCCAGCCAAACCAGTCAGCGGATGTGTCCATATGTTCCTTGAGTTTGTTCAATCAGACCTTGCCAAATACTGCATCTAGAAGATTTTGACTTGCGTGTCACGCAGCACGCAGTGAACAAAGGCCAACAAAGGCAGAGCTGATTTTGAAAAGTGTGCCATCTCTGGACTCCTGAATTCGAACCACAACTACAGCCGATAAAGGGCAGAAAAACATAACTCTCCAAATTTACATACCACTTTCAAGATGCAAGACTATTTTGCAGGGCCTATGCAGGGCTTGAAGTCTCAAAAACGCTCTTTCACCTGCCACAGTTGAGTTAGGACTAGTTGAAACGAGCCACAATGTGGTCATCGACAAACTTGTCCAATCCTATCCACCATGTATACCAAGACCTGAAAACGACCTCAGCTTAAGCAAATCAAACCGCAGTTCAACTCTCAAGACAGCACCGTTCAAACAAAAAAATGTTGCTTTTGTTTGTGTGCTTTTCACCTCTTAAACTAAGAGTCCAGAGGGTTGCATCGCCAGAAGTCATCGCAATTAGTGACAACTTCTTGGACGTGTTCACTTTGTCTGATGATGAGTAGCCGGCCAGCTCCCGGAACGCGGAAATAGGCTTGTGTGGTTGCGTGCTCGAAGAGAAAGTGGTGGATGCATTTCAACTGAGTCACAAACGCACTGGCGCCTCAAAAAGTTTGCTCAATGCAGCTTCAATGTTCAATGATTCAAGCTAAGCTGCTGGATCCTTCTTTTTTCTCATCGTCCACAAGCCGTACTGAAAGAAGTTTTTCAGACCGCATGCTTGGAGGAAACAGCCCTGATGATGGCGGCCCAAGGGTGTTGTAACAAAGTTGCGGGCCAAAATTTCACAGAAATTGCACAAAATGTCCTGCCTCGAACGGGCTGCGCAGGCTGTCCCCAGCGGCAGTGCGACCCTGCAAATGCTTTGTGGGGGTGCTCTGCTTTTCATGACCCAGTGATTTGACTGCCAGCCTGCAGGAAGTCCATCAAGCCGTCTTTTTGTCCAAGCTGATTTCTGGGCCAAATGCTCCAGAAAATATTCCAAAAAATGCCCCGACTTGCCTTTTTAACTTGCGCTTAGGGGTGAAAGTTCGTTGGGCTATCCATATTCTTCTTGGGTTCAGGTCACGATGTCATGAGAAACGCCTTTCATTGGCGAGAAAAAAGCAAATACATTGGCTAGTTATTTCACTTTGCAGTGTCTTTTCGGGCCAATCTCTTTGAACTCATCCGGCGCATGACACCTTTGCAGCGGCCTCTATTCTCCCTAAAGTTGTTCTGACTTCACATAACGTCGTCGACGGCGGCGGCTTTGTCGTTGTCGTCGTCGGCGTCCTCCTCCTCCTCCCCCACATCCTCATCCTCATCCTCATCATCTTCTTCTTCTTCTTCCTCTTCTTCTTCATCATCATGAGGAGAAGGGGTTGGAGCTTCCAAACAGGGGAAGAGAAGCAAGCAAGCAAAAAGGGTGACACATGGTGACACAGCATCCCAGGCTCAGAGACGCTGACACAGCAAATGAAGCAAGACCAGCAAGCCACAGGGCCAAGGGGATCTGAAATCAAGGAGGATCACCTGTCAACATGTCTCCAGCTCACTTTGCTCCGATTCCAATTCATCCTCCCCAAACCTGTCCAGGTTAGATGCCAAAAACTGTACCCAAGGAGGCACAAGAGACATGGAGGCATCACGGATTTCGGCTTGCACTCCAGATCCCAAACGCTTCAAAAGCAAGCTCTCGTAATCAAAACACTGGCAGACTTGAGACCAATGCACTGCATAGAAGGAGACAAATTAAGAGACAAGTCTAGAAGGACACAGAATATCCGATTTGTCATGACACGCTTGTATATCGACTAGATGCGCTGTACGACATGAACAAAACGTCAAATCGCATAAAGGCAGAATTTCACATTCCGGAAGGAACCGCTTTAGTCTCCCATTTCCTTCAAGCCTCTTCAGATCTCTTCAGTTTTGGCTGTTTCTCTTTGCAGAGCTGAGACAATAAATGTTCATATCTGCAAGCGCTGGGGTAAAGCGGGAACTAAATAGATGAACGAATTCAATCTGCCGATCTGGTTTGGAAGTACAACGGGTCTTTCCAATGGCTCAACTACCCAGCTTTTTGGCCCATTGGCACTTGGGAAATCCTTGGCGAAGCCGCACCTACAAGAAGTTGGGCCTTGTGCGAGACCCAAAATCGAAAAGGTGGGGCTTGCCATGGGAAATTGCAACAAGTACCCTGCACACCTAAAAGAAGTTCCGCCCGGCAAGTATTGCATGGGCGAATTCATCCTAAGCCAATATCCGACCCAACCAGCAGCTTCATGTTTGAGGGCTCCTGGAAAAACAGGTTTCTTGCAAGGTCGGATTTCGGTTCAGGGGATCCTGTACAAACAAGTAACAAAACTTGCGCAATGCACTGCACAGCACTCAGCGAATCAATGCACCAGGATTACCAGGAACAGGAAGGCAACATGCGGTCTAGTGCACCGGTGAAGCTTGATGGTGGTTGAAGGGTTCATCTGCGCAGGGACCTCCAGAGGCATTCACATGGCCTGTACAGAATGAGCCTACTCAATCGAAGCAAATTTACCAAATCCCTGACTCATGGAAGCTGGCTTTTACACAAAGGATGCGGAAAAATGGGCCCGATTTTTGTATTCTGTCATTTCATGCCACTTCAAGTCGTGTGGACTGGCGTGAAGTGGCCTCCGGTATGTTTGTGTTTCCTGTCTTTCCTAGGTCCTAGCTGTTCAGCTATCCTTTCAAGCATCATTTTGCTTCTTCCAGGGTCTTGTTCCAAACGTTGCTGTTATTCTCTTCAACAGTGTCTTTTCATCAAAGCTATTGCAACCTTTTTAAACAGAGCGCTCTAGCCTAAAAACGAATCTCAGTACTTCAAACATTTTCGCCTGGACTAGATTTTCTCTAAGTGGCTTCTTGGTTTCTTCGTCAGGTGTCAGAGATTGGGTTTCACCTGACAAATAAAAAAATGCAAGTAATCTTCTAAATGGAGGAAATGCCACTTCATGCCACTTCATGCCACTTTAGCTTACATCCTAAACACAGGTTATGGGTTGGCCTCGCCACTCCAACGGATTCTTGTGGTCAAAAAGCACTATATGACTATATGTTTGTCAATGGTAGCAGTATCAATGAACCTAGCTGCAAACAGCTTTACATTTCCAGTTTGCAGGAGTTAACAGTCTTGGTAAGAATGGGAGGCACCGGACACACCTGCAAGATCAATTTGGAAAAACTCATGCGTTTGGTTAGTCTATTCGATGCCTACGTTTCACTGGTTGATTCGTGGGTTGACCCCTTGAAGTTTGACACCGTATGTAGTTTCCTACATCGGAAAAGCTGGCAAACGTTCAAAGTCACTTCGATCTTTATTTTGAAAACATATTTACTTCCTTACAGGCCAAGCCTTGCTCACATCTATCTGCCATGAAGCCTCAACAAAAGTGCAAAAGGATGCCCCTCTGAGACGCCAGTTTGTTTATCACTTTAGTGGTCTTAGGGGTAGATGTTCAGCAACTTAGTTCAGAAAACATGAACGTGCTGAGAATTCAAAAACTCTGCAAAAAGCTCAGTCACAATCTCAATCGTCTCAAGAGGCACCAGCTCGCAAAAGCAAGGCCACCAGCAAGGAGTGTTCATTCTCTGCAGCCAATTGCAAAGGTGTCTTGCCCTGAGAATCTGGGATGTTAGGAGATGCCTTAGCATCCAGCAACACCTGTGCAAGCTCCCGGCAATTCCACTCCGCTGCAACAAGCAAGGGAGTCTTGCCATGTAGATCTTTGGCATCTGGAGAAGCGCGGGCCTCCAGCAGCTTCTTGAGGATTTCAAGATTCTCAGTACGGTTGCTGGCTGGCTTAGCTCCCCAAGGCTCCAATGATGACTTCACACATTGACAAATCTCAAAGTCCACGCACTGCAACCACACAGGTTTCCCGCGTGGGTCGTGGCAATTTGGGTCATGACCCTCTTCTAACAGCTTTTCGACCCGAGGCACATCCTTCTCTGAAACAGACCTGCCTAGTTCGTGATGCCTACTAATCAAAGCAGACAAATATGTTGCCTCCACAGGCACGATGCTGTTTGGTTTGACAATTTCACGATGATTCGTCACTAGAACAATTTGCCACTCAGGTTTCTTGATCTCAGCTGCAACCAATGCCTCCCGTTGGCTTTCTGCATGTCGTGGAAGGTCGTGGAGCCTCTCCCCTTTCACATTGTAGCATGGAATTGCGTTTTCTTCCACTGAAGTCATGGCGCAGGAAGCGCCGGTGCTAGGTTCGCGGGTGTGAGATCAGAGCTAGAAGGCTTGGTGGAAAGGACACCTTGCCACGAGCATGAAAGCAAAGCAACTCAACCACATGACTCAAATGGCAAGGACTGCACACGTTCTCCAGCTCGCAACATGTCACAGTCAAATCGTGACGGTTCATGACTCCCTGTTTTTTGGCAGTTTAGCAGTTAGCATATCGAACATGTCTTACAAACAACAATCTCTTCTGTGGCCTGAGCAAATACTGTAAAGGTTCTGCTTGGAAAAAAAGGTACATTTGGGGAATTCCTCGGCATACCATGCCTGTCATTAAAACCTTCATGCAAATTTGAGGCCCAGGGGGGTTGGTGGACGAAACCTAGCCAAGTTAAATCAATGTAAAACGGTAGAAGGGGAGCTGCTGATGTAAACATCTATTGAAAGATTTCTCTTTCGTCCCAGTCTCCCATACTCTCGGGTAACATTCTCTCTTTTCTCCCTTTTAGTTGCATGAGAAAACCAACGGCCCAAAAGGCACCGCAATCAAAACAAACCCTCTCCCACCAAAACTTGCCGAATTGCACGTGAGTGAGCAGGGTAAGAAAGTGTCCCCTTAGTGTGCGGATTTTTTGATTGTTTTAAGGCATGATTAATTTGAGGCCTTTGGTCGTTTAGGTCCTTTACTCTTGGGCCGCGTCAAACTCGTCCTTTGGACTGACTGGGATTTGTTTTGGGGGGGCGGGGTATCTATCTATATTTGATTTTAGCCCTGCCTACCTACCTGCCTGCCTGCCTGCCTCCCTACCTACCTACGTATCTTATCCATCCATCCATCCATCCATCCTTCCATCCTTCCATCCTTCCATCCTTCCATCCTTCCATCCTTCCATCCTTCCATCCTTCCGTCCTTCCGTCCTTCCGTCCTTCCGTCCTTCCGTCCTTCCGTCCTTCCGTCCTTCCGTCCTTCCATCCTTCCATCCTTCCATCCTTCCATCCTTCCGTCCTTCCGTCCACCCATCCATCCATCCATCCATCCATTCATCCATCCACCCACCCACCTAATCTATCTAATCGATCTATCTATGTAAGCTATGTATCTAGGCTATGTGTATAAGCTGTGTACATCAGCTATGTATCTCAGCTATGTATCTATGAATGTAATTATGTATCTATGTATCTATGTATCTATGTATCTGTGTATCTATGTTTTTGTGTATCTGTGTATCTAAGCCGTGTATGTATGTGTCTGCGTGTCTATGTGTCTATGTATCTATGCATCTATCCGTCTCTCTCTCTCTCTCTCTCTTTTTCTCGCTCTCTTTCTTGTCATCTCTCTGTCTATCCATAGATCGATCTACCAAGCCGTCTGTCATCTACCCATCCATCTGTATCACCTATGTTCGCCTCACCTATCTACCTACCTACCTGCCTACGTGCCTATCTACCTATCGACCTATGGACCTATCTATCTATCTATCTATCTATCTATCTATCTATCTATCTACGTATCTATCTATCTATCTATCTACGTATCTATCTATCGATCTATCTATCTATCGATCTATCTATCTATCTTTTTACCTATCTAAATATCTACCTATCTAAATATCTATCCATCTATCTATCTACCTATCTATCTATCCATCTATCTATCTATCTATCTATCCATCCATCCATCTATCTATCTATCTATCTTTCCCCTATCGCTTGCCTAATCCT